GCTTTACAGAGATTGTTTTAGTTAATTCTCACAGGAGATGTAATTTTATTACTCTCAATATACAAATGGGGAAACACAGGCTTTCCAAAGAGTTCACTGTTTAGATCAACAATTTTCAACCAATGTGCTGCAAGATTTTTAAAAACATGTAATACCTGACTATTTACTCAGGGGCACTGACTGCTTTTCCCTTAGATTGTCAAATAAAATAACAGACAACACAACAATAGCCGTCTGGTGTGAATGAATCAAAATTATACATATTTTATTTTGTCAGATCGGCAAAAAATATAGTTTTTGGTGTGCTGCAGAATTTTAGTAATTAGTTTGTGTGTCCCGTGAAATGAAAAAGGTTGAAAATCGCTGCTATAGAGGAATAAAAATAACAGTAGATATGCTATAAAGCCCTAAATGCTATAATAGACAGTGCCTTTTGGGGGTGGGAATGAGGAGGCCTTTCAGAGAGCAGGATGCTTGTTCTGAATGTGAAAGGCAGAGAGCATTTGCATGGCGGAGAAGGGGGGAAATATTGCTAGCATATGCAAAGGAACTGAAATCTGAAATGCTTTAAACATTACTGAAAACTTCTCTATAAGCCCCTGCACACCTGAAAATTATATAATGTTCCCAGCCAATGTTATCCCGATAGATTTACTAAAAAAGAACACTAATTGCAAAAAAAAGAAAAAGAAATTGTAAAAAAGAAAATTGTAAAAAAGAAAAAAAAAAAAGAGTAGCAAAAACTACTGATATTAGTCTATTTCTTAAGCTGGATGTGATTACTTGGCTGTTTATTTTTTAAAATTAAAAACTAAACCGTGCATATATGTGCTTTTGTATGTATAATAGAGTTCAAATAAAATAAGAAAAATTGATTTGGTCTAAACTGGAGTTTGGCTGTGGTTACTCATACATACAGTTGATCAAAGAAAAGAAAAACACTTTAGGGGGAAACTATACTGCCCCCTGCCTCCCAAATTTCCAGCCTACTTGGAAAAGTTCATAATTCTTCAACCCTTAACATCCCTTGGATCCTGCATTTGCACAAATAGGTAGTGGATTGTGAAGGGTGTTTATTTCCCCCAGAAAAGTCATTTCCTCAGTGCCCATGTTAAATGGCTTCAGGATAACATCTTCCAAAGAGGAACATTGGGAGCTGGGAGAGGAAGGACAAGGGAGATCCTTCCAGGGAACAGAATCAGAGGCTGCCTGATCTAATTGGTTGGACAAGGAACTTTCTGTACTGTTGAAACATGGAGTCATTAATGTTCCTGCCCAGCAGGATTTGGTATTTGGTGTGTGTCATTTTCTAGTGTCTTTTGTGTATTTCCAATTCTCCCCTTTTTCTGGTAGAGTTTTTTTTTTTTTTTTTTTTTTTAATCCTCACTAGAGGATATGTATTTTTCCTGTTTATCTTCAGATAGAGTAGGAGAGTGGGAGAGAGGGAGAGAGGGAGAGAGAGAGAAACATCGACATGAGAGGGACACATTGACTGGTTGCCTCCCACAAGACCCGACCAGGGCCGGGGAGGATTTGCAGCCCAGGTATGTGCCCTTGACCAGAATTGAACCCGAGAGTCTTTGGTTCACTGGCTGATGCTCTAACCATGGAGTCAAACTGGCCAGGGCTGGTAGAGTTTTTATTGTTAATGATTTTATTCTACTGTTATCGCTGTAGTATGGATATTGGAGGGGCAAACAGTTTTCTTGTCTTTCAGTTATCACTGCCAAACCATTAAGAGTGAATCATTGATAGAGAAGACTGCAGAGACTCCAGACTTCAAGCTGGATGCAATAGCTGGCTGAAACTTTAGGGCTGATAAATACATTCGACGTAAAAATGCCTGTGTAGGAAGATGGGTGTGCACTTCAACCCTATGGATTGACCTCTCTCAACCACCTTAATTGTAGATAGAGCCTGGAAAATGTGAGTACAGTACTTGTTTTCTCAGCCTTCTTTCTACAACTAGGGGTGGTAATGTGACATAGGGGTGGCCAATGACACATAGATGAAAATCTTTTGGAGGGGGGTGCTTATAGAAACATTCCTTTTTACTTGATAAAGGAACAGCTGATGTTGGTTAACCCTTCTTTTTTTTTTTAATACTCACCTGAGGATATATTTTTCTATTTATCTTCAGATAGAGTGGGAGGGAGGGGGAGAAAGAGAGGGAGAAAGAGGAAACATCATTGCGAGAGAGACACATCGACTGGTTGCCTCCTGCATGACCCTGAACACGGCCGGGGATGAATGCAACCGAGGTATGTGCCCTTGACTGGAATTGAACCCACGACTCTTTGGTCCCAGGGCTTGGTTACTCTTCTTTCTTCCTTGATTTGGATATGATTTCTGGAGCTTTTGCAACCATGGGGAAAACGTCCTGAAACAATGCCAACAACTACCTCTTCCGACACTTCTTTAAAGTAACAAACAACCCTATATTTATTTATTTATTTTTATTCTCACCTGAGGACATTTTTACATTTATCTTCAGATAGAGTGAGAGGGAGTAAGGGAGGAAGAGAGAGAGAGAAACATTGATGTGCGAAAGACACATCGACTAGCTGCCACCCACACGACCCCAACAGGGACCAGGGACAAACTGCAACTGAGGTATGTGCCCTTAGCAGGAACAGAACCCCAGTCTGTCTGGACTGCGGGCCAACGCTCTAACTGCTGAGCCAAACCGGCCAGGGCAAACAACCCTATATTTAATAAAGCCTCTGTTAATAGGATTATTCTGTTATTTGCAAAAGAAAGCATTCCTGATTTACACGTCATTGCAAAATACGGATAATACAAGGTGGGGCAAAAGTAGGTTTACAGTTGTGAGTATGCAAGAATTTATTCTTGTATTATTATTTAGTAATTATTGTATTATTTTCCATTTGAACAACTGTAAACCTATTTTTACCCCATCCTGTCTATAAAATATCTAACACTTGCCTAGGCAATTTTCATGTCCTTCTATCTATATTACTGCCTAAACCAGTTTAGCCACCTTTTGGTAGAAATTATAGTTGCATTATACTTTTTTAAAATTAAAGCAGAAAAAAAACATATAAAGTATCCTAATTAGCAAAGGTGTCAATTTTATACAAGGTTAGGATAACATTGTCTACTTTGTTCTATAGTCCTATTTGTCACACCTAAGATTTTTGTTGCCTTCTTTGTTCAGAAGAGTTTACTGCTCCAGGATCCTGGAAGAGTCTACAATTGAGCTAAGCCTATTTTAATTATTTCCCTCTAGATTCATTAAATTATAATTGCCTACATAGACAGTTCCGCAAGCTCACAGAGCCTGGCACTTTTTGTTATTTATCTTTGTTAGTTTAACTGCTGCCTAAAGTTAGGGTTAGGTGCTCATAAAGATAAAACTGGCAGCAGCAGCCCACCTGGGGTGACTAGAGAGAGGGTTCCTCCTTCTAAAGTAACCCCATTTCAGGATCACTCCTTCATTTGACTTTTGAAACAGTTTTAATCTTAAAACCTCTATAAAATGCAAGTGTGTCTGGGAGGCTTCGAAGTTTGTTGGCTAAGGCTAAGCTACCACATAACACCTTGGTGGAGAATACAGTGACCCTTAACATGAGTTTGAACTGCGAGTGTCCACTCATATGTGCCCCCCCCATAAATAGTACAGTACTGTAAATGTATTTTTCTTATGATTTTTTTCTCTAGCTTGTTGCAACAATACGGATGTAATATGCATAATGTATAAAATATGTGTTAATTGACTTTATATTATCAGTAAGGCTTTCTGTCAAAAGTTGCATGTGGATTTTCAACTGGGGTGTCAGCACCCCTAACCTTTGCATTGTTCAAGGGTCAGCTATAATTAACAAAAAGTAATGAGCACGTCAAAGTGGGAATGAACCTATCTGAGCAGAAGGACCAACTTTATAAGGGAAAAGGGTACGGAAAAGGAAAGGGGAGCACCAGAACGATCTGTAGCAGTTTGCCTTGGGGACCAGAAATATTCAGGAAAGTAACTTTAAAATAAAGTGTTGTTCAGCGAATTATTTTTCTTGTTTGTGGATTCTCCTGCCCAGAAAATTTAAACAGAGAGCCCAAGCTGATCTTCAGGGAGCCTCAGAGTTTAATGACTCCTGAGCAGTGATGAATTTCCTACCCCTTTCCAGGTTGCTAACCCAAATTATGGCTAAATTACCAAACGCATGGTAATTCAACTCTAAAAAGGATTTGGTGTTGAACATTTCCAAAGGTTTAAAAAAATATTAAATTGTTTTTACCTTTTTCATCTTACACTTGAAATTTGCTTCCTTCAAAGAACATGTAGCTATAGTGACACCCAAACTGGGAGGAAACATCCAGGACTATTGATTTTACATCACAGTTTTTTAAATGCTCATTTTGAAAACAGCTGGAGATTATGAGGAGGCAGGCCATATCTAGAACCTTCTCAAAACTGGTGAAAAGCGCTGTACAAAGAAATAAGCAATGTTCTGTGCGTTCATTATAAGCAAGAAATTGCACTCCCTTGTCACAGCTCACTTTTTAAAACAAACTTAATTTGTTTTTGTTACAGATGTTTTTCCTTTTTCCCCCATTGACACCCTCTTCCCCAAGCCCCCCCCCCCCATCCCCAGCTTTGTTGTCTATGTTCATTGGTCATGCATACATGCATGTAAATTCTGTGGATTATCTCTCCCCCCTCAACCCCCCTCCTCGGAGGCTTGTCAGTCTGTACCTCATGAGTATGTTTCTGGGTCAATTTTGTCACATGTCACTTTACAAGGAGACCTGCCAGACTAGGGAAAAGATCGGCGAGGTTTGCGGAGGGCGGTGAGGAGCAGCCCCTGTGGGCGGGCCTGTGCTTGCAGACAGCGGGTTTCTGACGCCCACATGGGCATCCAGGTGGAAGCACGCACCCTGCGCTGTCACCCCGTCTTCGCTCGGCCAATCGGAAGGCGGGCGGGGCGGGCCGTTCTGGTCCACTGATGCCAGCTCGCGCTCGCGGGCTCTCGCTCCCGAGGGCCATGGAGCGGCTGACGGCTCCCCCCGGAGGCGCAGCGGCCGTCGACGACTACCTGGAGTACCGCAGGTGAGGCGGCCCCTCCGGCCGGGCGCCCAGGGCGGGCGCGTCCCGTTGCGCTCGCCCGCCGGGCTCTGGAGTCCCTTTCGGGATGCTGGGGGAGAAGCTTCCACTGATTTCGAATTTCGTCTTTCTGTAAATAGTGTAGTGACACTCAGTTCTGTACTAATAGTTTTCTTCCGAGGCTACGAGGTTCCCGCCCCGACCTTCCCAAGGATTATTAACTCCAGATGTATGCAGAGGTCCGGGGTTTTCCCCAAACGGCCTTTGACGAACGAATTGCGCACGGAGCACTCGGGCCTGTAAAAGCGGAGGGTAGTTCGCGTGTTAGTACAGCTGGAGGGTGAGCCGGGCACTTCCGGACGTGCTCCCGAGTCCAAGGTGCTGGTGTTGGGAGAAAGACGGCCTGATGGAGTTCCGGTGGTTCTGGAGAGTCCTCTACCGAGACTGCAAACGCAGCCGCCCCTTTGGCCCCGACAGGGCTGGGGCTCCTGGACGACGTGTATCTCCCGAGAAAGGTTTTTGACAGCTGGGAAACTGGGTGAGGGGGAAGTACCGGCGAGGAACAGGCGGGACGAGGCGGAGTTGGAGGGTGGGGGGAATGTGTGTCTACAAACGCCAAGCAACGTGATCGCAGCTCCGCCTGGGAAACCTGAGCGAGAGGGGGCGCTCTGCTTAGGCCGCCCTAAATCACCCAGGGGTGTTCGGGCAAAGGGTTTCCTGCCTGACTGCACTCCCTCTGCCTGTCTCGTGGTATAGTTTTGGGTAACGCCTAGAAATGCCTGCTAATTCTGAGCCAGAAAAGTGAGGGCGAGGAGCTTGATGGGTCAGGCCTCGTTCTCGGTTCCATTGGGCCCAGGTAACACCAGAAGTACTGTGCCCAGAACAGCTTCCACCCAGCCCTCACCCAGGGCAGAACCGGCTCCGTTAGCCTCCAAGTTTCCAGGGTTTTTTACAGGGACCAAGTTTCTGGGCCCTGGTGTTGACTGATAATTTAGGTATTCAGATGTTTACATGTGCGGATTCGTGAGTTTCCAATTGCAGTCTCTTGCCTGGTCCAGAAAATGTTAGGGCCGGGTGGAAAATTATTTTTGCAAACATAAATAACCTGGAACAATTCCCTTTAAAAGTTACAGCCTGCTATTCAAAGTGTAGCAATCATGGACCAGCCGTGTAGGCATCCGCTGGGAGCTTGTTAGCAATGCAGACTCTCAGGCATACTCTAGACCATTAATCTGAATCTGCATTTGGACTAGATCCCTTGAGGATTGTGTAAATACAATAAAGTGTGAGCTGCACTGGGTTAGAACTTAGATATAAATGATCTCTTTTTTTAAAGATCTGAATTGATCTTAAATTAAGTTCTTTTCAGTACCTGTTGGTATAATTCTCAGTAGCTATAATAAAGTGAAATGGCTCCAAAATGATTTCAGAATAAAATACCCCTTTGTCTTTTTTATTATTGTGTATCTAAATTATTTGAGGAAGAAGCTGTGATGTTTCCATAGCTTCTGAGTTTCTTTATTTATCTACCTAGGTAAAGGCTTAAAAGTATAGAAAAAGGTATGGAGTGCACAAAAAATTATGGAGCATTCTGCAAACAATACTTTTCATGACTTTTAAAAGGGACATATATTCAAGGAGAAGTTTCTTAATTTTGAACAAATAACTTTAAATTGTGGTTCTCTCTCCTCCAGGGAAGCCAACTCTCAATTTCTTATGAAATTGAGACATATCGTTGGCTTAATTTTTCCCATACAATTTTGAGGTTTTACTTCTGGAATTTAACAATGATGTACCTGATTACTCAGCAACAGATGTGGATTTGAACTTATGCAGGTCCAAGGTGTTTGGTGGGTCCCATGTTAAACTTCTGGCCAAGGTCTAGGGTCAGGTGTGGACATTAGTCATGTTGTATTCTGCACTGTTGTTTTTTCGTACCATTTATTTTGGGGGATGGGGGCACTATTTTTAAAGGAGGAAAATGTTAGGATTTTTAGTAGTTTAGGCTACAGCTTTTATTTATTTTTTTTATTTTTATTTTTTTAATCCTCACCTGAGGACATTTTTTTGTTTTTTTTGTTCAGATAGAGTGGGAGGGTGAGAGAGGAAGAGACAGAGAGAGAAACATCGACGTGAAAGGGACACATCGAGTGGCTGCCACCCACATGACCCAACCGGGGCCGGGGACAAACTGCAACTGAGGTACACGCCCTTAGCGGGAACCGAACCTGGGTCTCTCCAGACCGCAGGCTGACACTCTAACCGCTGAGCCAAACCGGCCAGGGCTAGGCTACAGCTTTTAATGAGAAGAATAAGGATGTTTACTTTAGAATCAAAAGAGAAACTGAGATGACTGTGTGGCAGTTCTCCAGTGGTCAGCCTCGATCAGTAAAGTCAGATGTTATGAATTCATTGACTTTTTTATTTAAAATCCTCTTTTACATGGAAAGCAAAAGCTTCATTATCATTGTGTATAATTTTGCTATTAACATAAACCTAAAGTAAAAAATCAGAGCCATAGAAGTCTTTCCTTTAACTATACAAGTATAGTTTAGTTAGTTTAATTTAATTTTTTTAATCCTCACCCAAGGACATTTTTGCATTTATCATCAGATAGAGTGGGGGGCAGGGGGAGAGAGAAACATCGATGTGAGAGAGACACACGGAGTGGGTTGCCACCCACACGACCTCAACCAGGGCCAGGGACAAACTGCAACTGGGGTACGTGCTCCTAGTGGAAACTGAACCCGGGACTCTCCAGTCCACAGGCCCGTGCTCTAACTGCTGAGCCAAACTGGCCAGGGCAGTACAGTTTAATTTTAGAGTATAGTATTTTTAACCTGGAAGATAAAGAATCAAGGCTTAAGAGAAGTATTTTTATGTTGTTGTAGAATTGTGGGTGAGGATGATGGAGGGAAACTTTTTACTCCTGAAGAATATGAAGAATACAAAAGAAGAGTTTTACCTATGCGCCTCCAGAACAGATTGTTCGTGAGCTGGCGATCACCGACTGGAATAGATTGTAAACTTGTGGGCCCAGAGACACTGTGTTTTTGTGGACACAGGTAAGATATTTTTCTGGTGATTAGAAAATATGAAACTGTAGCAGACCATATTTCCTTCTATAAATAACATTACTTGTGATAACTGAGAAACATTTAAAATAGGCCTTTGTATTATGCACTAGAAATTATCTAAACTTCTTTTTGCTATAATTTAAAAATTCTGTTATATCCTGTTAGAACTCAGTACAGTCCATTACCTTAAGTATCTCTTCTCCTGCCATTGGTAAAAATGATACTGATGCTCTGGTCTCTCAGTTAGGCTGGGGAGCACAGTCTACCTCTCCCACCACTGGACAGGGTGGTCAAGGATGGGTTGTCAGACTGCAGAACTGCTTGAGTTGATCCACACTGACCAGGTTCTCAATCTACAAAAAGAATCATTTCTCCTCAGATTTTCTGATCGCACTTTATACTTTAAGAAACATGTTTTGTGATACCTTTCTTTAAATAAACAACAATACTAAGCACACAGCTTTTTATTACACCTGGCCCGTTTCCAAGAAAAGCACAGGGAACAAAGGAAATGCAGTGAGGCCCCAATCCTTGATGCGTGTTGCCTGTGCCTGAGGTTTGCATTTGGCTGTTTGTCGTGTTCTACTTTAAATTCTACTACTGTCACAGGTCACAGTTGTAAAGCTCAAAAGGACAAAGCTGCATCATGGAAAAATCACTGAGCCCATGATGTGTTTTTAGGTAACTTTCAGTTTGAAAGCAACCATGGAAGGAAGATCGCCCTGTTCTGATAGTTCCTGGGGCTCTTTCAGGAGATACTCTTTGTGTAGTTGCTATTTACAGACTTGCAGTTTACCAAAGGTTGTTAGGCAGTTGCTACAGTGAGTAATGTTGTATATAGATTGACTTGAAATTTATTTTGCAATTCCAACTAAAAACACTGTGGGGGAAAGGAGAATGTGAGTTACATTGATATCTTTCAGAATTGATACATTCATGCATTTTTTATTTTTATTTATTTTTTGTTGTTAATCCTTACAGGAGAATTTTCTTTCCATTGCTTTTTTTTTTTTTTTTCCCCCTAAGTCCTCACAGGAGGATATTTTTCCATTTATCTTCAGATAGAGAGAGAGGGGGAGAGAGAGGGAAAGAAAGGGAGAGAGAAACATCCACATGAGAGGGACACACTGACTGGTTGCCTCCCATACTACCCCCGACCAGGGCCAGGGAGGAACCACAACAGAGACACGTGCCCTTGACGGGAATTGAACCCTAGACTCATTGGTCGGTGAGCTGACGCTCCACCACTGAGCCAAACTGGCCAGGGCTTCTTTCCATTGATTTTTTTTTTTTTTTTTTTTTTTTTTTGAGTGGAAGGGAGGGAGGGAGAGAGAGAGAGAGAGAGACAGAAAAAAATATCAATGTGAGAGAGACACATTGATTGGTCACCTCCCATACGTGCCATGACTGGGGCCAGGAATTGAACCCTAGACCCTTGGGTGAGCAGGTTGATATTCTAACCACTGAGACACACTGCCAGGGCTTAATTTTTATTCTTGTACAAATTCAGTGCCCATCTCTTATCTATGTATACTTATACAGCATGTAATTAACCTTCAAAATGGACCCAACTAAACTTTGATGGAAAAGTTCTTTAGTATTGGTTACTCAGTGAGATCTCTGTCTTCACAGTTCCAACCCCCCCACCCCCATTATAAAAGTGAAATGTGGTTACTAAGGAAAATGAGGAATATATAGAAAAATAGAAAGAAGACTTAACACCCAAAACCAGCTGCTATAAATATATTTTACTATATTCATGTTATTTGCATAGTTCATTTAGTTAATTATGTGTGCATATAAATATTGAACCAATTTTTCATGATAGAACTATCACAGAAATGTTTTCACATTATGTGATAATCACAAGCAAGATTTTTATTTTATTTTATTATCCTCATCCGAGGACACTTTTCCACTTTTTGTTCAGAGTGGGAGGGAGAGAGAGGAAGAGAGAGAGAGAGAGAAACATCGACGTGAAAGGGACACGTCGAGTGGCTGCCACCCGCACCACCCAACCAGGGCCAAGGACAACTGCAACCGAGGTAAGTGCCCTTAGCGGGAACCGAACCTGGGTCTCTCTGGACCACAGGCCAATGCTCTAACTGCTGAGCCAAACCGGCCACGGCACAAGCAAGATTTGTAATACCTGCAGGATATTTGGGCTAGTTCATTGTGTGTTCCCCAGAGGTGTGAGAGTAACTCAAGGGTGTACCAGGTGGAAGGGTAGGTTAGGGAAAGGGCAGACTCCAATTCTGGGTCTTTCCCTTGCTTTAATCAATTCTGCTTTTATCTATTTTATATATTATGGTCTGTAAAATATTTTATTTGAAGAAAAGGTTTCACTGGTAAAAAGTGTGAAAAGTATTGTCTTGTAATTTACTTAACCATGCCCTTATTAATGTGTTGTGTGTGTGTGTATGTGTGTGTGTGTCTGTATGTCTGTATGTATGTATGGGTATACATATATATTTTGCTATTGTAAGTACTATTGCTAGTACTATATTTATGCACACACTCTCTCTATCCATCGATTTCTTTAAATAAATTTTTTTTCTTTATTTATTTTAGAGAGAGAGGAAGGGAGAGGAAGAGAGAGACAGAAACATCAATGAGAAAGAGCATCTAATTGGCTGCCTTTTGCATGTCCCCCACTGGGGATCAGGCCCACAACCTGGGCATGTGCCCTGACCTGGAATCGAACCAGCAACATCTTGGTGCATGGGCAGATGCTCAACCACTGAGCCACACTGGCTGGGCTGGATTTATTTTCTTATTTACAAAATGAACTTCTGACAAAAGTAACATAGCTGCCGCAAATACTGCAGGTAGGGGAGTTTATTTCTGCCTTACTGACAAGAACAATGAAACAACAATAAAATGAAAAAGAATCATTTTGCATTTAACAATAAAAATAGTGATTTCTGACATTACCTGCATTGTGTTTTTATTTCTTCCCTTTTACTTTATTTTTTCAGGTATAAACAACATAAAACTGACTTTGAAACGATTCCAGAGCAGCGCCCCATCAGTCTGGCTTGCCGAGTGACTGGCTGCCAGTGCGGGGCTTACCATTATGTCCCTATGAATGGTGCGCAGCCCATTCGATGCAGGTGTAAGCACTTTGCCGATCAGCACAGTGCCTCGCCTGGCTTTATGTGCAATACCTGTGAGTTACATTGTTATATATACACCAACAGAATGCATTTATTTCTTTATTGAATATTTAATGTCTTTGTGCCAGTTTTATTCAGTTAGATAGAGTCAATATGAAACAACTAAGAAAAATTTGGTGGATAGCTAAAGTTTTACTTTTAATTGATTTTAGAGAGATGAAGGGGGAGAGAGAGAAAGAGGAAGGGAGGGAGGAAGGGAGGGGGGGAGGGAGGGAGGGAGGGAGGAAGGAAGGAAGGAAGGAAGGAAGGAAGGAAGGAAGGTTGCCTTCCACACATGCCCTGACTGGAGATCAAATCCGCAACCCTTTGGTGTATGGGATGACACTGACCAACTGAGCCACCCGGCCAGGGCTCTAACATTTTTTTTTTGTGGTAAAATTCTGAGTTATGTTTTTGCAGTCATAAACCCTAATCTCATGTAATTCAAATCAGTCAAGTAGATTTTAAATAATCATTAGATGTGATTTGATTCGAATTTTAGAATAGTGGGAGTTTTATGAAATTCTTTTACAGGTTTTAAAAAGGATTTTATAAGTTGAAATAAATTTTATAATTTGCTGGTAGGTTATTATGTTATTGCTTAAAACAGATTTTTCAACCTTTTTCATCTCATGGCACAACAAAACAATTTACTAAAATTATTTCTGATCTGACAAAAAGCATAAGTATATTTTGATTCATTCTCACTGGACAGCTATTGTTGTGTTGGCTGTTGTCGTTTTTTAACTTGATAATTTAAGGAAAAAGAAATCAATGCCCCTGACCAAATAAATAGTCAGGTATGGCATGTTTTAAAAATTATTGTGGCACACTGGTTGAAAATAGCTGGCTTAAAACATAGGCTAATGGGAAGAGCAAAATGTAACATGATAATTTTCATACTTTATATGCAATAGCACCCTTACCTCAAAAACTCTACTTAAATCCCAGCCCCCATGTCATATGCCCTTTCACTGGATCATCCTTTTAAAAACCCTTCGAAAATTCATAATAATAAAAAAAAAATGCCCTGGCTGGTTTGGCTCAGCAGTTAGAGCGTCGGCCTGTGGTCCAGAGAGACTTGGGTTTGGTTCCCGCTAAGGGCACATACCTCGGTTGCAGTTTGTCCCCGGCCCTGGTTGGGTTGTGTGGGTGGCAGCCACTCAATGTGTCCCTTTCATGTCGATGTTTCTCTCTCACTCTCTTTCTCTTCCTCTCTCTCCTTCCTACTGTATCTGAACAAAAAAATGGAAAAATGTCCTTGGGTAAGGATAAAAACAAAACAAAACAAGAAACCTTTGAAATAGGTAGACTATTGTTAGTCCAGTGTTTTTCTTCAGGAGACAATTATTCCAGTTGTTTTTGTTAATAGGTTTAATCGAAATGATGAAATATAAAGCATTTGTAATGACAGTGGTAGGAATAAATGTCTTTCATTAGCTAATAATGGAAGTAGTTGAATAAAACTTACTATGTGTCCTAGTTCCCATAAATAAATATTTGTCAGAAGTGTGAGTGTGTAAAGATTTCATTAATGGTGTATTCTGGCTTCCATTTAAATATGGCTTTTTATTTATTTATTTATTTATTTATTTATTTATTTATTTATTTATTTTTTATCCTCACCCGAGGACATTTTTTCATTTTTTGTTCAGATAGAGTGGGAGGGAGAGAGAAACATTGACCTGAAAGGGACACATCGAGTGGCTGCCTCCTGCACGACCCAACCAGGGCCAGGGACAAACTACAACCGAGATATGTGCCCTTAGCGGGAACCGAACCCGGGTCTCTCTGGACCGCAGGCCGATGCTCTAACTGCTGAGCCAAACTGGCCAGGGCTAAATATGGCTTTTTAAATATATATAAGCCCTGGCCAATTTGGCTCAGCGGTTGGAGTGTTGGCCCGCCGACCAGAGAGTCCCAGGTTCAGTTCCTGCTAAGGGCACTACCTCAGTTGCAGTTTGTCCTCTGCCCTGGTTGGGGTCGTGTGGGTGACTACCACTCGATGTTTCTCTCTCTCCTCTGCTCTATCTGAAGATATATGCAAAAAAAAAAAAAGTCCTTGTGTGAGGATAAATATATGTGTGTGTGTATATTTTTATACACACATACATATATGTATATAATAGTTTTATTAAGATATAATTCACACTCTGGCCAGTGTGGCTCAGTTGGTTGAGCATTGTTCCATGAACCAAGAGGTTGCTCGTTGGATTCCTGGTCAAGGCACATGACTGGGTTTCAGGCTCAATCCCCAGTAGGGAGCATGCAGGAGGCATCCGATTGATATTTCTCTCTCATTGATGTTTCTCTCTCTCTCCCTAAAAAGAAAAAATCAATAAAAACATTTAAAAAATTATGAAGATATAATTCACATACCCATTTCAAGGGTACAATTTAGTGATTTTTAATATATTCACACAGTTGTATAACCATCACCACAATAAATGTTAGAACATGTTTGTCACCAAAAATAGAAACTTCATATCCATTAGTCATTTCTTATTCTGTCTGTCCCCCTCCCAGCCCTGTGCAACCAATAATCTATTTCTGTCTCTATGGATTTGCCTATTCTAGACATTTCATGTAAATGGACTCATAGAATATGTGGCTGGTTGTGATTGTCTTCTTTAGCATAATGTTTTTATGATTCATCCATGTTGTAGCATGTATCAGTACTTTGAATTTAAATCCTCACCTGAGGATATGTTTTTATTGATTTTGAGAGACAGAGAAAGAAATGTCAATTGGTTGCCTCCTGTACATACCCTGACTGGGGATTTAATCTGCAACCCAGGTATGTGAGTTGACCAGGAATTGAACCTGCAGCCTTTTGGTGTACGGGACGGCATTCCAATCAACTGAACCACCCGGCCAGGACCTTCTTTTCTTTTTATTGTTTTTTTTTTAAATATGTTTTCATTGCTTTTTTTTAGAGAGAAAAGAAGGGAGAGAGAGAAACGTGGATTGGCTGCCTCCTGCACTCCCCCTACTGGGGATCGAACCTGCAACCTGGGCATATATCCTGACCGGGAATGGAACCAGGACCTCTCAGTCCATGGAATGACACTGAATCCACTGAGCCACACCAGCAGGGCTCCTTTTTATTGTTAAACAATATTCTATTACATCCTTTCTTTGTCTATGGGTTGATTTTCCAGTATGGCCTTTATGGGGAATTGATCCATGGAGAGGTTTCCATGTTATCTCTTCACCTGGTCCTGCCCACTGGTTGTCCCCACCATGTCTGCTTTTAACTCAGTATCTGAGGAGAGGGCCTGCATTTCCTGACTCTCTAGTGTTCAGCCCTATTTCTTTTAGACCTCATTGGCTTTTCTATTCCCCCCCTCCCCTGCTACTATCCTTTACTGCCTTAGAATCTTTTAGAAGTAAGAGCAGTGGCTGGGTGGGAGTTCAAGGTTTGGTGGCAGCAGTTACAGGGGTTAGAGGATGGCACATGAAAGATCCAGATTCAGTTGATTTTGGCCAAGCTGAGTGTTTTTAGGGCAAACAGCTCAGTACCTATATTTAAAAGCATTTAATTCCCTTTACACCTTGATTCAGGTTCCAAATGTTCAGGATTCCACAGTTGCTTCACTTGTGCTTGTGGTCAGCCTGCGTTTGCCCACGACACAGTAGTGGAAACTAAGGAAGAAAGACTGGCTCAAGGAAAACCAGTGGGACGGGATGTTCCTTATGCAGCAATGGGAGGATTAACTGGCTTCAGCTCACTGGCAGAAGGCTACATGCGGTTAGATGACAGTGGAATTGGTAAGTGTTGATACAGAAATGTGAGCTTGTCATATTTTTGAAGACTTATGTTTGTTTAGCACTTTATATTCTTCATGTTTTTTTTTCTTTCCAGAAAACATTCTCTTGATTTTGATTTTTTAAAAAAGGTTTAATTGCCACTATACAATATGTGGTCATTATAGAACATTTAGAAATCGCAAGAGATCATTTCCTTCCCCAGTATTTGTACTCAAATCCCAACTCATAACCACATTGTTTGTAATAGCTGAATAATAAATAATGTTTTATTTATTTGATATGATAGTTTACCTATTATTTTATTGTTTGAAATTTTTACCATTATAACCATCTCATTTTGGAAAAATAGGCTTACGTCCATGTGTGAATATGCACATGCTTGTATATGCATGTAATCACATCTATAATAATGCATGGTCATAAGCATGTATGTGTATGTACACATGTATGTACACACATATATCTGCTTGCATACATAAAAGTTTTAAGCAATATAGGGAAAAGTTCAATTGGATATATATCATACCATTGAAGGTAACTGGATTCTTTTGAGTGGGATTGGGGAGAAGAATAAGGTTTCTATTTACTTTAAATACTTTCGTGTATGGATTTTTTTTTTTTACAAGCATATACTACTTTAAATTTTTTTCATAAATATGAATGAATATTTTCTTACTATAAAAGATTCAAACAATACAAATGAAATACAAGTCCCCTTTGAACACTCATCTTTACCCCAGATTCTTTCCCAGAGGGTAATTTCCTGTTATCAACTGATACAAACTTTTTTTAGCATACATTTTTATATTTTACTTTTCTTAACTTAGAAAAAATTTAACTTTATTATTGGTATTATTTTTAAAATTCTATTATGTCAGGACACACAAGTCTACTTAATTCTTTTTAACTGCTGCCTAGTATTCCACACTATATAGATTATCAGTTTCTCTAAACCATTTCCTTGTTCCTGACATTTGGATTGCTTTCCTTTTTTTGCCTTTATAAACAATCCTGCCAAAAATGTCCTTGAACTTGCTTCCTTGTATATCACATAGAGAAGTAGAATTTTTGGGTTGAAGTATGTGCACATGTGAAATTTGAATACATTCTGTCAAACTGCTCTTCAAAAATGCTTTGTTTACTTTAGTAATGTTTTAGCTTGCCTATTTCCTTACATTGCTGATCACTGACATCATTAAACTTAATTTTTGCCAGTCTTATGTGTGAAAATGTTGTTTTAGTTTGATATCCCTGGTTATTAGTGAGATGAGAGTCTTCTCATATTCATTGGCCATTTTACTTTCTGTGAGTTGTCTGTTCCTACACTTTGCTCATTTTTGTTTTTATCTTTTCTCATTGACTATAAAAAGTGTCCTTACATATTCTGTGTACTAATGCTTTGTTATTATTTATTTTGTGGATATTTTTTCCAATCTGTCATTTGTCTTTTAGTGTGTGTGTTTCAGTTATTAAATTTCTGCTCCAATTTTATAAACATGTTCTTCATTTTACTTTAATACTTAATTATTTTGTTTTTATGTTTAGGTTTTTCATGCATCTGGAATTTACTTTTTGTGAAAATGCGAGGTGCAGTTTGTTTTTGTCCTAATTGATGGAAAGTTATCTTTCCCAAATAATTTGAAACTTTACCGTATTCTATCATACTCTCAAACCAGTTTTTCTGTCCTGTGCTAATATTATTACAATGTTACCTGTTTTTAATTGTTATTCTTTTTTTTAATCCTTACCTGAGGATGTGCTTATTGACTTGAGAGTGAGGGAGAGAGAGAAAGGGGACATCATCTATGAGAGAGAACATTGATTAGTTGCCTTCTGTACGTTTGTTGACCTGCAACCTAGGTATGTGGCCTGTCTGGAATTTGAACCCACAACCTTTCAGTATAAGAGATGATGCTCCAACCAACCAAGCCACACTGGCCAGGGCTAATTGTTATTCTTCATGTTATGTTTTGATATTTGGTGTGGTAAATTCCTCCTGTTTGTATTTTGTTTTCCAAGATTGTCTTGATATATCTGTACTTCTCTTCTAATTTTAGAAGTAGCTTGTTAAATTCCATAAATAAATCCCTTTTCAAAGGGCAAGAAAACCTGTCCTTTTTGACCCTTGAGGGAAGGTGGGGTGAATAAAGGTGAGAGTAAGGAGAGGAAACATTAAATATTTTTGTCTTGACTTCAGATATAGAGGAGCCTGGGATAGAGGGACATCTGCTTGGTTAGCCATGCTGAGTCCTGGACATAGATGGCCCCTGGCTGGAATTTAGTTCCTTTATGTTGCAGAAGGAGCCCAGAATTCTCAGTTCATAACTGAGCTGTGAGGCTGTGGGCCTGCCATGGTATTTGTCACAGCAAGGGGCAAGGGTGACCTCAGAGCAGAGCTGAGCTCCAGGGGTTTCAATAGGGGGAGGGGGAGGCATCAAGGGGTCTGTACTTTTAGTGGGAGCAGGCCCTACTAGCTGAGAGACTAAAGTACCACATAGGCCAGCCTCACCATTTGAGATCTGTAGTGCACACAGCAACCAGAGGACAGCACAAGAACCCGGCTGGACCTGAGCGCCCCTCCTGTATTCCCACAGGTCACTTGAGCAAGGAGCTGCAGGAGGAGGGGCAGGAATCTGAGAGACTGAGCAACTGTCCCACACTGCTTCCGTTATAGGAAAGGACTAATTTTAAAAACCAAATAGGACTGAAAGTTTATTTTCTTTCCCTCTACCCGCAGGATGGAGATAGGGGTGTGGGGGAGGTGGTGGTTTCTGAAGAAGATAAAGCACTATATATAAATTTTCTCTGCACTTCCTTCCTTTTGGTTCAAAAGTCAATTATTTAGCAGTTGGTCTTTGTAGTTTGTGGTTTGGGGTTTTGATGCTTTCTCATTTCATTGAAGGTTTATTTTTCATAATCTGTTTTTAGCTGTTTTCTGAGTGAGGAATAGAGTAAAAATATACTTATTCTGCCCTCTTAAACTAGAGGTTCTTTATTGCAAATGTCGCTTTTGATAGTGTTTTATAACTATGTTGTCGTTGGGTACTCTTTGCTGACATACAATTACATTTGTGCATATTTTTGTTTTCTGTGAAAAAGGTCTCTGATAAATACAAAAATACTTTACTCATTTGCCCTTACTTTATATGGCTGGTAAAAATGTAAATAAAAATTTCTTTTTTATAGAAAGGATTTTTCTAATGATTCTGATGAGGTTCTAATCTATTTTACATTTGAAATAACTTCTTTGTATCCTAACAAATAGAGATTTATTTTTCATTCTTCATGTATTTTGTTATCAGGTGCACCTTCAGCGGAATTTTTAGATTCTTCAGATACGGCCATGGACCACCCATTTCTAAAAGCATTTCAAACATCATCTAGTTCTTTTCCAGAAAGACGAACAGATGGTAATGAAATTAAATTAAGAAATATGTTTGGATGTAGAAAATAAGAATATAGATTGATTCATTGATAGTTCTCTTTTTTTCCAGCATCCACAATTTTATTATCATTTTATTTTACATTGGCCAGGCAGTGAGAAAAAGCAAGAAAGTTTATTTTTATTGGGAAAAATTACTAAATCTGAGAATTACAAGCATTCTGATAATACAATAATTTGAAGTTTTAAAACCTTATTCTGAGAAAGACAAATACCACATGATTTCACTTATTTGTGGAATATAATGAACAAGGTAGGCTGATGAATGAAATAGACCCAGAGACATAGAAAGGAATATGGTTCAGACTGACAAACCTCAAAGAAGGAGGGCAGGGGGGTGGATGAGATGAACCAAAGAACTTATATGCATGTATGCATAACTAGTGGACATAGACAGCAATGCTAGGGGGTGGCATGGGGAGAAGGGTGTTTAGGGGGAAAAAAGGAGTAACATCTGAAACAAAATAAATTAATAAAAATTGAAAAAAAAACAAACCCCAAAACAAACAAAAAAACCTTATTCTGGTACGTTTGCTTTGATGTCTGAATATGAGAGCCCTCGAATGGACTAATTGCCTTGATCCTAGGTTCTCTCAACCAGGATATAATCCAGTAATAATGATAGGTTAGCAAAGTTTTATCATTTATTAATTATAAATTAAAAATGAATAGAATTCATTTTAAGCGCTAGTATTCCATTTCCTTAATTGAAAGCAAGAATAAAAACATTGAAGAAAGAATTTGTATGATTTATTAGGTATTTAACATTTAAAAATATTTAAAAATGAGAATTTTTTTTTAAAAATTATATTTTCATACAACCTTTTCATGTGCCCTTTCTCCACAATGGGTTTTAAGTCTGCCGCTTACAAAAATAACACACAATGGAGAATGATAAAATAGAGATAAAAGATCAAAACCAAGAAAAAAGACACAGTTGTGTCCACATTCAAGGTTGTAATTGCTCATTAAGCTTCGGTTTTGGCTGAGTGTAGTGGCAGAAAATGCATAAAGAAAGGTGTAATCAGTTTAACACTTTTTATTATGAGAAAGGAGAATACATGAGTTCCTCCATGCTAATGAAAGTTACACCAGTGCTGGGTTTTAAAGACGTCTATATAGTGACCCTCAATGATGCAGTGGCCTAAGGTCCTTAGAAATGTTTTTTCAGCAAATGCAGTTCATTTCTAATAGTCACCTTTGGTAAAAGTGATTACATACTATTTTACCATATAAATGCATTTTATCATTAAAATGTAACTCAATATAGATGATTCTGCAAGAGGCTTTGCTTAGACAGTCCAATATGATCCAGAGAACAATCCAGAGTTTTCAGATGAATGGATAGATAGCAAATGTTTGAAGCAATTTTTCTTATTTTTCTCAACAGGGATTTTGTTTGATAGTTGACAGAGTGTGCTTATACTCTGGTGACTCTCAAGAGTTATATGATTTTTGTGTTGCTGGTTGAGGGTAAATTCATGTGTTTTAAAAACAAGAACAGGTGTTCAGGTTGATACTCTATTTTGGATATTAAGGGACCCAACCAAGACATTCACCTGAAATGAAGGTGAACTTTTCGATGACTGGGCTTGTGATGTACCTATAAAGAAAACCAGATTTTCCTTCTGAGGTAATTTAAAATTTCTTTCAGCACATAAACTAGTGCTTGATTAGTTTAAAAAATGAATACTGCCCTGGCCAGTGTGGCTCAGATGGTTGGGCGTCATCTTGTGCACCAAAAGTTTCTGGTTCGATTCCTGGTCAAGGCACATGACTGCACTGTGGGCTCAATTCCCAGTAGGAGGTATGTAGGAAGCAACTGATCAGTGTTTCTCTTTCACATCAATGTTTCTCTCTCTCTCTCTCCCTCTCCATTCTTCTCTCTTTAGAAATCAATAAAAATCTTTTAAAAGAAGTGAATACCATGGAAAATGGTTAAAATTATTTTAGTTTGAAAAATTTCAAAGCTGATAGAATCATCACTATGGTTGCCTACTGTAATCATCACTATAGTCCTTTCAGGTGGCTATAACAAAATACCATAGGCTGAGTGGATTATAAGCAACAGAAATTTATTTCTTAGAGTTCCAGAGGCAGACAAATTTAAGATCAAGGTGCCAGCATGGTTGTTCTGGTAAAGGGCCTCTTTCTGATTATAGCAGGTGCCACCTCATTGCATCCTCACATGGTGAGAGGGTTGAGGGATCTCTGTGGGGTCTCTTTTATAAGAATACTAATTCTGTCCTAGCCCATGTGCTCAGAGGTTAGAGCATCGGCCATGGACCAAAGGGTCCCAGGTTTGATCCCTGGCCCCAGTTGGGGCAGGTGCAGGAGGCAACCAATCGGTGTATCTCTCTCACATCGATGTTTCTGTCTCTGCCCCCTTCCCTCTCTCTCTTCCGCTCTCTCTAAAAATCAATGGAAAAAAAAATCCTTGGGTGAGGATGAACACCCCCCCCCAAAACACTAATCCTATTCATGAGGGCTCCATCCTCATGACTTATGTACCTCCCAAAGGCCCCAATTCCAGAGACCATCACATTAGGCATTAGGGTTTTAACATATGAAATTTTTTTTGGAGGGACAAACATTCAAACCATAATACTTCTGTGTATTATCTGTTACAGTGGTACATAAATTTCTAGATTAGCTAGAAAATGTAAAATGTAATTGAACAATGCTAAGTGTGCTCTTATATAAAATAGCGATATTGTCTTATTTAATATGAACCAGTTGAATATTTGCAGAAAGTTTCCAATGAAAATTACTTTTGTCTTATGGTGTTCCGCTTTCTAAAAAAGAATTAGGTAGTAGGATCAGTTCTCCATTTAAGCCATTTCTGGTTTGAAAAATAAAAAAAAAATACCACTAGGTAGGAGGCAAGTTTACTTTTCTTTTTTTTAAATCTTTTTAATTTCAGGAAAATTTAAAATTATGGAAATATATAACTTAGAATAATTTTTTTTCTTATTAGTAGGTACAAGTCATCAAGTTTCTTCCTTAAGGAGACCTGAAGAGGATGATATGGCTTTCTTTGAAAGACAATACCAGGAAAGGGTAAGTCTGTGGAGAAATCTGCTTACATTAAGCATTTACTTGTAATGAAGATACTATGAAATAATTATATACTGATTGTGGATTGTCATTAAAAATAATTTATGAAGTCTTTATTTATAGGTGGTATTAGGCCTTGGGGCTTATTTAGAATAATTCAGAGGGAAACAGGACTAATGAATAATATGGTAATAAAGGTTAATTTATGGAGGTTAAGATTGACTAAATATACAAATACAATTTTCAGTAATAATCATCAACCATCAGATTTATAAATTATGTATCTTGAATTAATAATATGTGGTAGTTTTTCTTAGCAACTTCTAGGTATATTCATTTTTTTTTTTTTTTATCCTCACCCGAGGATATTTTTCCATTTTTTGTACAGATAGAGTGGGAGGGAGAGAGAGGAAGGGAGGGAGAGAGAGGAAGGGAGAGAGAGAGAGAAACATCGACGTGAAGGAACACATCGAGTGGCTGCCACCCGCACGACCAACCAGGGCCAGGGACAAACTGCAACCGAGGTACGTGCCCTTAGCGGGAACCGAACCCGGGTCTCTCCGGACCGCAGGCCGACGCTCTAACCGCTGAGCCAAACTGGCCAGGGCGGTATATTCATATTGAAGTTAAAATTACTCAGTAGCCTTTGAGAACTAGAGCACTAACCATAAATGTATTTTAACATTTTTAGGGCTTAACAACTACAGTATTGAAGTGTTCCCAGATTTCAGTGATGATAATGTTTATCAGTTCTCCACCACACTGAAAAACTCCTTAGAGCTAAGTGTAGTCTTTTATTCTTTCTGTTTTCACTAGAACTAAGCACTTGTATATAATACCTTTTTTAAGAAGTATTTATGGAAAAAATAAATACACAATTGATATCCCTTTCATACATGTCATCTACTTACACATTTGGTGTGTTTCATGCAGTGTTCATATTTGAGAGTCTTGTTTTTGTTTATGGCTGGATGAAAGGATGTTGGCTTAATGAGGTAGGGGGGGTTGTTATCCAGTCATACGGCACATTCCCAAAAGTGCTTTCTTTAGGATTATTTTATAGTTGCTTTGAGGACATTTTTTTAAATCTCTTCAGCTAGGTAATAAATGTCATGAAAGAACAGACACTGTTGTCACTTTTTGTCATATCCTCTATGACACTTAGACAAGAGCTTGTTGAGTAACTGAAGGTGTGGAAAAAGGAGACCATTAAATAAATTACCTTCTAAGAGAAGAGGAAGTGAGTAGGGGACAGAGATTAGCTTGGTTTTTCCGAGGAAGAATTTTAAAGTAGAGGGGAGAGTTCTCATATAATTTAAGGCAAAGCTAGAAAATAGAACTTTCTGCAGTGATGGAAATGCTCTATATCTGTGCTGTAGCCATGACTCTATAAGTCTAAATTAAGTAAATTAAAATTTACTTCTTCAGTCAAGAGCTCAGTAACCACATGTGGCTCATGACTACCTGTTGGACAGTGCAGAAAGGTCTTTTATAAAGCTCTGGTCTAAGGGAAAGAGGTAGTAGTAGGATCTCAGGGAGGAAGATGAAATAGTCAGATTGAGAAAAGAAAAGGCTATTTTTGCAACATCATTAAAGATAAATTTTTAATCAAAGCTGTTTCTGTTCTTGGAACACACGTGTTAATGGCTGAATTTTAGTTTTTCCTCAGGCTTATTAGGGACAGGGTTCTAGAAGTTCTTCCTTCCTTCCTCCAGAAGCCCAGGTAGTCTTAATTGCCTTGAAAACATGCCAATAGAATTTGCTCATGGGAAGATAATGAAGGGGAGTTCTTATCTGTGAATGTTTTGGAAGATATACCTGGCCCACCCAGACTGCTTATTATAACCACCCAGACTGCTTATTATAACTAGAACTAGAATTTATGGATTTGTGAGATGTAGTTGATAATTCTCTGCCTTATGTGATTTATGGATTTATGAGATACAGCTTAAAGACTCTCCAGCCTGTGTGATTAATAGAGTTTAAAAACTAAGAATTTCAAACCGAAACAATTTCTGAGCTGACATGTACCATACACATTGTTAGTATTCTTCTATTACTCTAAAAAACCAAGATACGCACCATTGAGGGAAAAGGGATGATCAGGAAACTGAATCTGATGGAATTAGAGCCTTTACAAAGTAGTGTTATGCTTGTACAGACATACTTGGGAGGGAGATATTATGGGTTTGGTGTTCCAGACCACCACGGTAAAGTGAGTATTGCAATAAAGTGAGCAGTAATCTTTTTGCTGGTGGAGGTCCTGCCTTCATTTTATGAAAAATGCAGCATCTGTGAAGTGTAATAAAGAGAAGCACAATAAAACAAGGTGTGCCTGTATTTCAAATGAACAAATGCTTCCTTGACTTTTGTTTAGTATGTTTGCTCTTTTTTGATATTGCTATAAATCTAATACTTGGTCCTAAATGAGAGCGGAAAGGAGACTAGCATTTGTTGAGTGCTTATTAAGTATGTTTTTCTTTATATATATGATCTTATTTATACCTTTAGAACAACCCTGAGATGTACCTATTACTATGACCTTTTTCCACAACTGAGAAAACTACTGGTTAAATAGCTTGCCTCAAATAGTTAACGAATGCTAGAAGTAGGGTTCAAATACTCTTCTCTCTGACTCCAAAGCCTATAATCTTTGCCTTAGAATAGGGTGTTCTTTGGGAGTCCTTCAGATGACCTGTTGACTGATACAGCGTTAAAGAGCATATGATTTCTGAACGAGGTTCCCAGCCAGCCCAAAGAGGAGAGAGAAGGAAAAATGGGGAAGATATAGAGATGAGATTCATTCAATTTTTTTTTTAATCTGAGGATATTTTTTTCTATTTATCTTCAGATAGAGTGGGAGGGGAAGAGAGAGGGAAAGCAAGGGGGAGAGAGAGAAACATCAATGTGAGAGGGACATTTCGACTTGTTGCTTCCCGCACGACCCGGGTCAGGGCTGGGGACAAATTGCAACCAAGATAGGTGCCCTTGGCCAGAACTGAACCTGCGACTCATTGGTCCTCAGGCTGACACTCTACCACTGCGCCAAACAGGCCAGGGCAATTCATTCAATTTTATTATTAGGAAGTTATTATTTATAATTTGATGAGATTGAGTAGACTAGTTTTACCAGGTTCCTTCTGGTTTCCTGATATTATTCCTGTCACCTTAGAAGGTGGGAGGCCCTGCCTCCAGCTGCCATGCCCCACATTTTCTCTGCCCTTCTCTTGCAGAGGTAAGGCAGTGGTGCTGCCTCTGGAAATTGGTGTGTGTGAGTGTGAGTGGTAGTGAGTAAGAGGCAGGTGGGGTTTATGTTCTCTGGGTCTCCCCCCCCCCAGGGAAAGGGTTATAAGTTTCTAAAAGATCAGAGGGCTACTGCTATGGTTGTGCAAGCTTCTTTACTGCAGTTACAGTGGTGAACAACAACATTCAGGAAAGTAACTGTGCAAATGTAGAAACCAGTATTATAGGACACTATCCTTTAAGCAGTCCACATTCCAGAGATAATCCAGCTGGATTAGGTGTATTCTTTAACCCTGTAAGTGAATGTGTTTAGGTTGATGGAAGGTTAGATATTTCACCTTTAAAAAATAATATGTAATGGCAATTTAAATTATTTTTATTCATTTTCTCCAAAGAAATGCTGATTATATATGTTATTTTTATTAAAATGCTTCTGTAAAGTTGAATTCAAACCATAATTTAAAAATGCAATTAGATTCCTTTCACTCTCAGATTTTGGCGTTAGTATTTAGCAGCTTAATAACCGTTACATGACTGTGTAAAGTAGCTGTGGCAAAGCAAGCATGAATCCAAGTGAGGTATGTGCAACCTTTCTTTCTTTAGAATGTTTTACAAATTATTATATCAACAAATATTTTAAATTTACAGATAAAAATGGAAAAGGCTGCTAACCATAAAGGAAAAGCACCATTGCCATCAAATAAAAAAACTTCATGAAGATTATTGGGGAAATTAAAATTATCATACAAATATATCTTTTTTGTGTTTATTTAAATATAATAATACATTTTATTTTGTCTCAAATTATTTACTTCTTTTAGTATATAAAATGTCCTTTTGGATGTTTTCTTAATTTAAATAAGTGAAATACCTTATATTACTTGTATAAAATTTCATGATTTACTGTTTTGTCTATACTTTTTTAATTCTCCTAACAAATGAAATTATTTTCATATTAGTCAAAAGTACATTAAAAATATTTAATCTTTCATAATTTAACTTTTTCAAGCTATGTATTTAAAAAATTAAAGATGACCCTGGTCAGTGTGGCTCAGTTGGTTGAGTGTTGTCCTGTGCACTGAAAGGTCACCGCTTCAATTCCCAGGATGTGGGTTCGATCCCCAGTCAGGATGCCTATGGGAGGCAGCTGATTGATGTTTCTCTCTCAAATCGACATTTCTCTGTCTCCCTTTCCCTTCCTCTCACTCTCCAATCAATAAAAACATTAAAAATAAACAAATAAATGAAAGATGTTATTGAGATTTTTGAACAAATATATAAGGGCCACTGTTTCATTCAAAAAAGTAAATTAAAATCTTTACTTTTTTATTTTTTAAACTTTTAATGTTGATTTATATTTTTAAATAAAAAATGATTTCAAAATTATATAATCATTTTCTAGTGGTATCTACTGATTTTTAAGTTGTTTTGTTAACTATGCCTTGCATGTAGTGGTATTGACAACTCTTGTGCAGCAATTCAGATTTTCCTGGCGCTACCTCATACCCCAGTACTGCTGTGAAACTCCTCGGAGCAGGCTTCTGTCAGCTTCATGTGGAAGATATCTGATGGCACTTTGTCTGGGGGCCATGTCGTGACTCTAGATATCCCTGACATTGTGGCTTGGGATGCCCACTGGAACCCCTCTGCATCATACATGCATAAAAGATGTGGAAGAGTTAATGACCTTGGGACTACCCTTGATTAACGGGAGGTGGAAGCCAATAGATGAATACTTCCCCTTCTGTCTGCTGGGAAGACAATTTTGAGATGCCTTTCATAAGCTTCCTCAGTTATCCAAAAATTGTGGCCAACTGTATGATATATCCTTATTTTAGCTTTCTCTTTTTCCCCTTTCCACTCCCTGCTTCCTTCCCTTTGGTTCTGTGGAGGAGAGACTGTTCCATGATGTGACCACTGCAGACCCACAAGGTGGACACGGGCAAGAACAGAGATTGCTTCCCGTAAACCCTCTCAGAGACTGTCTGGTCATAATCGATACTTCCCTTCTAACATAAACCAGTACCTCTCCCTTGTCCCATGTCGTGCTGGTTCCTGGAACAGGTTGCTGTCCTGACCTGGGCAAACATATAAGGCATTTTCCCCACACCTGGGACTGATCACATACCAGTGCCCCCAACCATCCTGCCCTTTTCTATATAATTCTTTGGCGCCTGCCAAGCAGCAGGGAGAATATCCACTTTATTTTGCAGCTGCCCAAGAGTGCCCGGTATATAAGTTTCCCTGAATAAACTCTGTTAATTTCCAAACTCAAGTGGCTTGCCTCTTTCTTTGGTCTTTCCCTGCCCTCCTTTCAGGCTTGGGACTTTTCCTTGGGTCTGTGTGTACAAACAAGTTCTCTGAGATCATCTCCCAAATAAATTACCCATACATAAACATGTGTTTTAGGCTTTACTTTTGGTTGGCGAGGGGTGGGGATGGTGGGGGTGGTGCACCCAGGCTAAGATGGGTACCAGTAACACATTTCGAAAGCAAAACTTGAGGATGGGATTCTATGACTGGATCATTCACTGGACAGATAACAATAAAGACACCATACTGTTGGTAAGTGGGGTAGTGATAACTCCTGGCATGTAGCATCACAGTTACTGTAGTGGATTTGGGTGAAGTGCAGGTGGAAGGTCACAAGTTAGGTTATACAGTAGCTGTAGCATTACAGTGGAATGGGACTAACGGAAATTTTAAAAATAGAGGTGTTGATTAGCTATTGCTAGCTGCTTTAGAAACCCGAACAAGGAAAATGACATAGGTTCATGTTAGCTACTTAAGGCATGCTGTCAATGTCAGAATGCCTCCACAGCACCTTTTAAGGAAAGTCTCATCTCCTGCAGATGCACGCAATCTGCACTGACAACTGGCCCAAATCTGGTATTAAAGTGGCAAGGCTGCAAAGCAAACAATGCACAGCCTCGATCATCTCCAACACTCAGCATGCCAACAGCATAAGACTAGAACCCTGAATCATGGATGGGGACATTTGTGTTGGTGAGCCTGATTTTGAACTTTCTGAATTGGCAGAAGCAGCCTCCTCCATTTTGCTAGAGGAGAGCAGCCTGTGCTTGCCTGGAGATCCTGCAAAGACTCTACCTAAGGCATCTGCATTGTAAGGTGACACTTGTCTTCCTCAATACCCACCCCTGCCACCTCTCATTGACTTCAAACTGATCATTAGGATCTGGTCTCAGCATACCCTAAGGGGGGGAATTCAGTCCTTCCTGTAGAAGGATAGGTCACATTCTGAATGAATTGCTGGTTCCAGTTAAAATGTATTGTCTGGGGTAACTATGTCTGGGGTAAATCTACATGGTGTTGGATCAACGGGTGGAATATAAGGCTTGATGGGAGAGAGTGACATGGATATTCATATGTAAAAAACAATGCTTTGCATTTTATATAAAAGTCAACTCAGAAAGGATTTTAATTCTAAATGTAAAATCTAAACACGTAAAAGTTCTAGAAGAAAATATAGGAGAAATCTTTTGTGTTCTTGGTTAGCCAGAGACTTCCTAGATACAAGATAAAAACACGATCCATAAAAGACAAAACTGATAAATTGGACTTCATCAAAGGCTCTTTGAAATACCCTTTTTTGAGAATGAAAAGACAAGTCACAAACTGGGAGAAAATATTTGCAAATCTGATAGAGTTGTAGCCACAGTATATAAAGAACTTCAAAACTCAAGAAAACAAATAATGGAAGAAGTATGAACAGACATTTCACCTAAGGAGCTATACAGATAGAAAATAAACAAAAAAATATTCAATATTTTTAGCCAATAGAGAAATTCAATTAAAACCACAAAAAGATACCACTATACATAAAATACATAAACTTAAAAACACTGACCATATAAAATGATGGTGAGGATTTAGAGCAATTAGAACTCTTGGACACTGTTGGTGGGAATATAAAATAAACTGCTTTGTAGAACAGTTTAGTAGTTTCTTAAGAAGTTAAACACACACAACTATATGACCCTACCATTCTACTTCTATATATTAACCAACAGAAATGAAAGCATATGCCCATACAAATACTGGCACCTGATTATCCATAGCAACTTTATTTAAAGCAATCTCAAACTGGGAACAATCCAAATGTCTACCAGAAAGTAGATAAACTGTATTATAATCATGCAATGGAATATTACTTAACAACGAATAGCAACAAACTATTCATACATATGACAAAATAGATGAATCTCAAAATTATTGTGCTGAATGAAAGAAACCAGACAAAACGTACACACTGTATTACTTCAATTAATATCAAATTGTAGAAAATGCAAACTAATGTATGTAAGGTATGGTGACAAAAAGCAGAATCTGTCACTTGGGGTAGGTGGGAGAGCCATAAAGGGGCATAAGGAAACTTTTTCTGGGTAAAAGAAATGATTGTTTTCTTGATTATGAGTATGATTTAAACAGTGTATAATATGTTGGCTCTAATTGTGCACTTTTAATACCTGCACTTTATTGTTAATTATATCTCAATCAAGGAGTTAAAAGCAGTATTAATCCCCCCCTACCCTCTGTTAAAGTGGTGGAAAAAGCTGCAATGCAATCAGAAATAGAGGCTGGGTGGAGAAATGCTTGTAAAGCTACTAATTCGAAAACCACGTTTTCTTTACCAACATAATTTTCTTCTTTCCGTCTTTTAAAAAAGATGTTGGGATTCTTCTAATTTTGTTGTTTTAAAATTTGAATCATCAACTTACACCATACACAAGAATAAACTCAAAATGGATAAAAGGCTTAAATGTAAGTCATTAAACCATAAAAATCCTAGAAGAAAACATAGGCAGCAAAATTTCATGTAGCAGAATTTTCACTGATACATCACCTAGGACAAGAGAAACAAAAGAAAAAAAATAAATGGGACTACAAACTAAAAAGTGTGTGCACAGCAAAAGAAACCAGCATCAAAATGAAGATGGAACCCACTATTTGGGAGAAGGTATCTGCCAATGATACATCTGATAAGGAGTTAATTTCCAAAATATATGAAGTACTCATACAACTAAACAAAAGGAAGACAAACAATCCAATTAAAAAATGGGCAGAGGACCAAAATAGACATTTCTCCAAATAGGACATTCAAATGGCCTAAGTGGGTGGAACATTGTCCCATGCACCAAGAGGTTACCTATTCAATTCCTGGTCAGGGCACATGTCTGGGGTGTGCAGGAGGCAGGCAGCCAACTGATGTTCAATGTGTCTGTCTCTCCCTCTCCCTTCCTCTCTATCTAAAGAATCAATAAAAACATTAAAAAAAAATTGGGCAGAGGACCTGGATAGACACTTCTCCAAACAGGACACAGAAATGGCCAAGAGATATATGAACAAGCGCTCAGTCACTAATCATCAGAAAGATGTAAATTAAAATGACAATGAGGTTATTACCTCACACCTGCCAGAATGGCAACTATTTATAAATCAACAAACAAGTGCTGGTGAGGATGTGGAGAAAAGGGAACACTGCTGGTGGGGTTGCAGACTGATACAATCACTACGGAAAGTAGTATGTAATTTCCTCAGAAAAATTAAACAGTCAACTATCGTTTGACCCAGTGATCCCACTCCTAGGAATATATCCTAAGAAGCTTGAAACACCAGTCAGGTAGAATATATGCACCTCTACATTCATAGTAGTGCTATTCACAATAGCTAAGACTTGGAAACAGCCCAAGTGCCCATTGTGGTACCAGAGAACTGAGACCACCAGA